TCTCTGTCTGCAATGGAAGCTACAGCCCCACCAGGACATTCGGCGCTTCCCTCTAGCAAATGTCAGGATTCCAGAGCAGGCTAGAGCTCATGCCTAGCTGAATCTGAACTTTCATACTTTCTTTTCTCCATTTGCCCTGATTGTCTCACAAACTTATTTTTATATTTTATATAGTTTGAATGTATGAAATATTATAATCAAACAAATAAATAGGGGGCTGGCCCCATGGCCGAGTGGTTAAGTTCACACACTCCACTATGGTGGCCCAGGGTTTCGCCGGTTGGGATCCTGGGCGCAAACATGGCACCGCTCATCAGGCCACGTTGAAGCGGCATCCCACATGCCACAACTAGAAGGACCCACAACTAAGATACACAACTATGTACTGAGGGGATTTTGGGAGAAAAAGCAGAAAGAACAAAGAAGATTGGCAACAGTTGTTAGCTCAGGTGTCAATCAAAGCAAACAAACAAATAAATGAATAGTCAATATTCATTTCTGCATTACAGACTTCTGAAAATAGATCTTTTTCATGAAAGAACTATGGACCCCTCGATGGTACACACGATGAATATAAATCTAATTAGACGAGAGGTAATTGTACTTATTTAACCTTAGCATCACAGTTCTCTTCACCTGAGACAGTTGCACTTTAATTGCGGTTTACATGACGGCCATCTGTCAAATATTACTGGGTAAATCACCACAGCTCACTTGACTCAGAGCAAACTGGAAAGTCTGCAAGCTTCCTGCTACATTAGCCAGGACTGACTTGGTGGAGATCAGTTTTGACAGACGGAATTTGAGATTTAACCTTTTTTTCATCATGATGTAAATCTATACGAGTAAATCTTTACACACTGGATGGCATTCCTTGGCCACACACAGGTGAGTTCGGTTAATTAAGGAAGTACAAGCAAACTGCTCTTCAGTCTTATTACATGAAGATGGAAAGGGCTATAGGCAAATTAATCTCTTACTAGAAGAAGAGTTTGTTTTCTTATTTGAAAATGTCAAACTGTTAAAAGCTGTGAAGTAAATAGCAACATTTATGTAACACGTTGCAAAGAAAGATGAGGTTCTTATAGGTATTTAATTTTTACATGGAGAATAGGGATATACATAGAGAAAATTGTATATATGTACTTTTATATATTAAATATATATTTATTTATATACATATGAAATTGGCACAACGAGATTCATCATTTGGAAGTATGCAGTCTTTAAACTTCAGCTTTTAGGCAAGGCAATTCAGTATGGGTTGTATATTGGCAATTTAAAATATTTATATTTGATTTTAATGAACACATAGCAACAAAAGAGTTTTATATCATTGTACCTCTTTTGATTATAATTAGAACCAAATTTTGAATTTATTTAAATATCTGACCAAAGTAATTAGTTTTTTCTTTTTAAAATGTTTGAAAGTGCCTTTTTTATTCATAAATAATAAAATAAATCCTTCAAGATTTGTGGTAGACGATTGTTGTGGATATTTTGGTATGCCAGCGAGACCCGTTTTCGGGACAGAGCCCACCTGTTGGGAGTGCAGGAGGTGAAGGCTCTCAGCCTCTCTCTCCTGGAATTGCCCTCAGTTGAGGACAGCTGACTTTACCCAGCTCACACAAGCTGGTGGGGCTGGCAGGGGAAGAGGAGCCCACATCCAATTACTAGAGTATGTGGGGAAATAAAGGCATGTTCAACCTCTTTGCCTCCAGGTGGGACAACTCTGAAAGGCCACCGAGCTCCAGAGCTCCCTATGGGGTCATCATTTCTTTAGCTACACTCCAGATCAATTTCTCTCTCTGCCCAAACCTACTGCCTTCTCTTCTCCAAGATATGGTTCCTAAGAACACTCTTCAATACGTTGCCCACGTGTGTCTCTTACCTCGGAGTCTGTTTCATGGAGAATCCACTTAAGACATGGAGAAAATCTCTTTAGGTATGCTCAGAGAAGAAAGGTTAACACAGAGTATTTTGATAAACTTCACCAGAAATTCTTTACAACAATTTTAATTCAACAAAATTTATCAAACATCTATGATGTTCTAGGCATTGTGCTAAGCACTGAAGAGATAAAGTTAAATAAAATAGAATTCTTCATCTTAAGGAACTCACTGTCATGAAACACAGACATTACAAGTCAGTATGATCCAATTGAGACAAGCCCTATATTCAGCATAGTGACAAGCTGCTCTGAAAGTATTGAGAACGGAACACTTATCACTCCAGAGACCCACGAGGCGGGAATGACTTCACTAGGGACATTTGAAAAACATCCTTCAAAAGGCTCAGGTCTTTTGAATCACTCTTGTCTTTCTTTCAGATCCCACATCCAATCTCTCAATAGAAGCCGCTCCTCTGTCTTTAAATACATCTAGAATCCAGGTCTCACCACTTCCACTGCTTCCAATCTATGCTAGCCTAACACTTCTCATAGCCAAAGCCTCATAACTGGCCTTCCTGTTTCTACCCTTGCCCCTCATGCTCTGGTGTCAACACAGCAGACAGGAGATTCTGCAAAAATGGAAGTCGGATCATGGATTCCTCTGTCTAAAGTTCCTACCTCATCCTAAGAGCCGAAGAAGACACACTTTCAGGGTCTCAGGCCATCTCCACACTGCCCTCCCATCCTTACCTCTGGGCCTTTCCTTTCTTAGCTCATCTAAGAGTCTCCTCTCACTGTGTTCCAGCCACTTGGCCCATCTGGTCTTCTTGGAACCTGCCAGCACACTCCTGCCTCAGGGTATTTGTACTTGTGCCACTTGCTCTTCCCTCGGCCTGGCTCCCTCCTTCCCCTCCTTCAGGTTTCTTTAATTGTCAACTTCTTCCAGAGGGATTTCCTGACCACCCTTGCCCAGCACAACATATCCTCCTTGCCTGCTTTATTTTTCTTCATACCGCTTCCATCTGCTCTGTTCCTGATTATTATTTATTTTATTTGGAGTTTGCTCTTCCTCACCAGAACATAAGCACCATGAGGGCAGGATCACTACATGTTTTGTTTCTGGCTCCATACCCAACACCCACAATTGTCACAAGAACAGAGTAAATGCCTACTAAATATTTGTTGAATAAATGAATTTTTACAAATAATGAAGGAAAGCAAAAGAAGGATGAAGGCTTTCACTATGAACAATAGTTGGAAAGCATGGAAATCAAAATATTGCTAATCTAGTGTGACTGGAAGGGAGAAATTCTTTGTGGTCAGAGTTGGAAACATAGGTTGCATGTGTAAACCATGGAACATGGTTGTTATGGCTGAAGTGTGGCCCCCTAAAATTCCCATGTTGAAGTTCTAACACCTGGTACCTCAGAATGTGACTTTATTTGGAGATAGGGCTTTAAAGAGTGATTAACTTAAAATGAGGCCCTTAGAGTGGTTTTAATCCAATATGACTGGTGTCCTTATAAAAAGAGAAATTTGGACCTGGACCGTTACAGAGAGAAGTCTACGTGAAGACATGGAGAAGGTGACCATCGTCAGCCAAGGAGAGAGGCTTCAGAAGCCAGTACCGCTAGTACTTTGAGCGCAGACTTCTGGACTCCAGAACTGTGAGGAAATAAATTTCTCTTGTTTAAGCCACCCAATCTGTGGTATTTTGTCACAATAGCCCTAGAAAACTAATACAAAGATATATGCCATTGTAAGGAATTTTGACTTTACCTCACAAGACACTGTCAAATTTTAAGCAGAGATGGAAGTGGGGAAGACTGCATTTGTGGTAAGATGGAGGAAGGACTGGAATAGGGATTAGCCCTGAGCCATGGATGTGAACTGGGAAGTATTTGCAATGGTTGGGATCCAGATCAAGGAGAAGGAAGGGAAGAGGTGAGTACAGAATGGGGAGAGGCATCACAGCCAAGACTGTTGGGACTTAGTGACACATTAGAGGTAAAGGATATTGACACCCACTACAAAATGGAACTTAGTAAAATGCAGACATGCAAAGGGGATGAGATAGTAAAATTACATAAATTTCAGTGGTCTTACACTGGAGAAAATTTCTCAGTATGGAATTTAAGATAGATTGTAGCAGCATTCGTTCTGCTAGAGGTGTGAATAGCACTCATTGAGAAAAGGGGTCTGCAGAAAGAGCTGCAGGCTACATCTTGTCTTGGGGATAATACATACACTCGCAGATTAAAGAATCTGAGAAGTTTGGCAAAGAAGAAACCTCTTGAACTTTGTCCAAAAAAAGTATTACCTATGTTTATTTGATTATAGAAGCCTCTTTTGTGAGGCACCTTTAACCTCTCCCTGAACATGAATACTCTAGAAATTAATACAGTTTGGAAAATAGTGGTGTATCTTGAAGCACTAGAATGGTTCCAAAATAAATTGAGAAGTTTTTTTCTGGATAGTCTCTATTTCCAATAGCAAAACTAGTCAACATTGTCTTAAGAAATTGGCAGAATAAACTCATTAAAGGAATATACTTGGTTTTCCTATGACCTAATTATTACCAGATTTAAAAAAATTCATAATCTTTTGAAAGTAGCACTAATTCTTTCATGTCCCTAAGGGAAAACTACTCACTGCCTTGAAACAAAAACCAAAATATTCTAGGGGCCAGCCAGATGGCATAGAGGTTAAGTTCGCATGCTCTGCTTCAGTGGCCTGGGGTTTGCGGGTTCAGATCCCGGACACAGACCTACACACCACTCATCAAGCCATGCTGTGGCAGCATCCCACATAAAATAGAGGAAGGTTGGCACAGATGTTAGCTCAGGGCCAATCTTCCTCAAGCAAAAAGAGGAAGATTGGCAATGGATGTTAGCTCAGGGCCAGTCTTCCTCACCAAATAAATAAAAAAAAATAAAATAAATAAATAAATAAATAAAATTCTAGTGACTTAAGGGAAAGTGTAGCTCAAACGCAGAGATCTGGGAGCAGTTTTTGACCAGGTTTCTTTGATGCTAGAGCAGTCAAAGTCTAAATTTTCCCACATTCCATCAGTTTCCAAAACCCATGGTGTTTGGGCACAGTGACTCACATGCGATGCGCACATAGGCCTTCCGGCTCTTTGTGGTGCCCGCTGAGCTCCAGGCCACACACTGGCACCAGTAATCTTCAGGCCCAAAGAGTTCTTCCACTTGCTGGCGTGAAATCTCAATGCTCACTTCCCGGACAATGAGACCTGATCAGAGAAAGGTGGATTTAAGTCAGGAGAAGATTTTACTAAAGAAATACAAAACATTATACCATAATTTTTCCCCCACTGATCCTTCCTGATGCCATAGATCAACATCCCAGATACTGTCTTTCAACTCCTCTGATTTTCCTCTGCCTCCAGTTACTTGACTCTCAACTTTTTCATTCTCTTGTTTGCTCTTTCAAATCTTCCAGACTCGCCAGAAGATGAGAATGGAGTACCTCTGCCACTTCACAGAATTACACCTTTCCCCAAATATTCACCCTTCACCAAATTATCTTCCTCTGTATACTCAAATGTGAACTTGAATTTCACATCTTCTAAGGTTTCTACCCTCAGTTGTATAGGTTGTGGGTAAGACATCCATGTGCTGCACACAGCTTTACGAATCTAAATCTTCTTAGGAAGACTTAGTTCAAATGAAATGAGACAGAATCATCTAAAACTATAATTATAAGTGCATAAATCATAAATATATGTGCACATGCATACCCGGTTTTATTATAATATTACCTAGCAATTTACAAATACGTGGTATATTTAACGACTAAATTACTTTAACAGTTGGGTTTCAGTTATTAAGGCACATTGCTTTTTTTGAAAGAAATACTAGCTTTAGTTAACAAACCTCTGCTATTCTATCCAAAGAATGTATGACTTCAAGGTTTTCATGCATAATATTTTGAAAGCCCAAATATTTATAATCACAACGTAACAAAAATCCCGTTAGAGTTGCCTCCAGTTAAAATGCTAAAATATTCAGAATTTATTTCACAGAATTATGTAATCCTAAATAATAAAAATTGAACTAATAATCTGGGAGTATCATTTCAGGGGTATTTATCTCGAGACATCAAAGCCTATTTCAGAGTTTCGTTCTGCAATGTGCCTCTTCGCACTGAGCAGGAAGGGTCATCTAAACAACATATGTCGACAACTGTCAGGTCTCCACACACGCTTCCAGAATGGAGTGTCTCATGCGAGATCTAGCAGGGGCACCCTTAGGGAATAGGAGAATTTTCTCTGGGTCAAGTATGAGAACAGTAAGAAAGATTAAATGTGTTGCTTTGTACTGTTTATTCATTCATATATTCATTTATTCACTGAATAAATATTTATTAAGTATCAATTATGTAAAAGATATTGCAGTGGGCACTTGTGAATCTCTGATGAGTAAGGTCGCCATTGCCCTCAATGAACTTATGTTATTGTGAGGAGGGCACAGATTAACTACAGATTACCCAATTTATTACTTTATTACAATTGTGTTCAGTGCTACAAAGGAGAAGTATAGGGACAATGAGAGCAAATAACAAGGGGACTCAATTTAGTATGAAGGATCCAACATGAGGTAGGTTTGGGAGAGGGACAGGCTGTACGGGAAGAAGCCGGAAAGAGCATAAGCAGATTGGGAATCCAGGAGAAGACAACTAAGCCCTAGCCACAGAGAACAGCGGCATGAGATGAAGCTGGAGACAAGAAAGGGACCAGTCTACTACAGTCTTGTAGACCGGTGGTTCTCAACGTGCGGCCCCCAGAACAGTTTCATCGGCATCACCTGGGAACTTACTGGAAACGCAAATTCTTGGGCCCCACTCCAGACTCACTGAAAAAAGCTTTGAGTTAGGCCAGCAATCCGTGTTTCGACAAGCCCTCCACGAATTCTGAGGCATGCTACAGTCTCAGAACCACGGTTGCACACCATATTTAGGATTTGGGATTTCCTTCTGAGAGTCATGGATATTATTAAAGTATTTTAAGCAAGTAGATGACATAATCAGATGAGAATTTAATATTTATATATATCATACGTACAAGACAGAGAGTTATTTCCAAAAAGTTATGATTTCTTAAAATATTTGATCTTGACTTCTTGGTATAGGTGACATGAAAGTGGTGTCATCTGGATATCCTAAAAAGTGTTCCAGATCTTATTCTAAAACCTAGCACATGCTCAAATGGGTAAAAGTGCCCAGGGAAATTAAGGACCACCCGACAGAAGTAGGTGCTGTCCCATGGCGGGGAATAAACAGTGTTTCCCGTCAGGAGCTGGTGGGGTGGAGTCAGAGAAACAACTAGCCCTTGGGGCCACTCACGAGTCCCTGAACTGGAAGGAAGCCCAGGAAAGTGGGTTTTACAAGCCAAAGGCAGGGCAAGATCCTGAAGGGATCAAAAAATTTAAGTATATTTAAAATTATTTTAAAGTTTTGAAAATTAGTAATCCTTTTATGTTTACACAATTATCAGTTTAAAAAGAATTTTCAAATGACTGGCACATCCCAACGCCCCACCCCTCTAAGTAAAGATTAGTATATTATTTTAGCCAATGTCCAACTAACAAAACAACCTCCACAGTAAAAATCCCAACTTATGAACACTACTTTCCTGGTCTCTGTTGAGGCCTCCCATTTTCCTCTTATTGTAGTATTCTCATTTTCCTGATAGCTAGAAATTCATGCAAAGATGGAGCACAGCTCTTTCCTCTTCTCCCCCAACCTTTCTTTTTAAAACACCTTCCGATGTGGAAGACTTTTGCCCGTTGTACTTATCGATACCTTCTCTCTTCGTGCAGAAGTTCAGTTACTGGAAACAACGCTCTTCGTTTAAATGTTGTTGCCGTGCATTTACAGCCACCAACGGGCTGGCAAACCTGCAGAGCGTATTTCCTCAGCACCACGATGGCTCTTTCCAAAACGCAGAGCAGCAGCAAACGGGCTCAGGATATTAAAACCACACACAAATATTTTGTGTCCCAAGATGATAACTTCAGGTTTCAATGCCCCTCTCTTACTTAAAGCAATTACAGGAAACCTAATTAAATGCCAGGGGAACTGCAGGGGGACCACTGTATCCTTTAGCCCAAATAGGCTCATGGATGTTTCCGCTGACCACAAATCTGAAGCCTTTTAAGAAGCCACAGGCAGACCCTCCTGCTGCAGGGATTATTCACGGTATGAATGTTCTGAATTGTGCGGCCCAGGCTCCCTGTGGGCACAGGAGTCAAGCACACACCGATTTTTGTCTTCATCTGCACAGACGCCCCATTCAGGAGGAGATGGCTCAGTTACAGTTGTGTACAGTTGTACTGCCATATGCCCAAAGTTTGCATTCCAACTTTTGGTCAACAACACGAGAACAAGAAAGAAATGAAGCATGAAGTCCCTAAACACTTACAGCTTAGAATTCCCTAGAATCAACTGCATTATTCAGACTCTGAGTTACTTGGTTGCATACCATGTTTTCATTGCCATAGGTAAGTTCATTACCATGACATTTTGTTCATCAAACCAGAGGCTAGTGGTTTGGGTAAAAGTAGGTAATATCCTTTCTCTTTGAAACTAAAATTTCAAATATGCTTGAAGTCTTGAGATGGAAAAAGCAAGCTGCCTTGAAATTCGAAATGCCATCAGCATTACTTCCAGGGCAGGCTGCTTTGAAGAGCATTTGGGAACTTGAAATTGGTTTCAGGTTATTTAAGGGTGGGGGGGAAATGCTTCAGTCTACAGGATTTACTCGAGACAAATGCGTATTTTTCATCACATCTGATAACATCAAAGATTTCCCATCAATCTTCTTCCTTTAATAGCAGCATCTCGAGGATGGTTGCTGTTTGAAGTTTGCGGTGATTTGCTTTTATAATAGGATTCATCGTGGTTTGGGAGTCAGAGTGCAGGAAAGTAATTAGCATGCTATACCAAGAAGTCTTATAATGAGTACGAACATGCACTTGTTAACAGGGAGTTTCAAATGATTTTAGAAATCCAGGTGCAAATGCAACCCTCTGATTGGATCTCTGTGAGATTATACCTGAATATGGCAATAAAATCTGGTAAATGACATTTATTAATTATCTCTAGCATAATTTTAACTTCATAATAGTGGTCAGGCATCACAAATCGTGTTTTTCTAGGAGATTATTATAAAGTGATCACAAACACATGATAAAAACTGTTATATAATTATTCAAAACATTATCCATATTCCTCCAGAAATGTAATCTATAGTGCTGTCAACATATATTAAAAGGCTACTAATGTTAAAAATTATGTTAAGTCCCAGAAATGTAAAGATGCACCAAACATTACCTCCAGCTTTGTGCTGTTCACTTATCTTGTTTATTAGATAGGTGATCCTCAAAAAGCACGCATCATCTTAAAAGATTTTTTTAAAAGTGGTCATCAGGTCTGCACCTTCTGGTACCCCACGTGTTTCACTAAAAGCATCCTAATTGCACATTAGACTTAGGTGTTTTGTGTGCCTGAGTTGTACTTCTCATTCCTCCCAATTACTTTATCTTTCATGCAGCACAGGGAAGTCTGGAGGCATCATATTGTGCAGACCTGGCAATTCTACTTCTTCTAGCACTCTCCCTACTGGGAGAAGAGCTGCAGAGGTCACTCTACCAAATCTCATTATAGCACATTCGCAGTTAGGACTTGGGTTGGTGGGAAATGTACAAAGCTGCAGGTAAGGATGTTCTGGAATATATTACAACAGGTTATTGAATTAGTGTGGTCTCTTTTTCATGCTTTCATCCAGAGCTTAATCCTGTCAGTTTTCACTAATATGATCTGAAATATGAAACACATCAGTTCTAGACGTCCTAATATAAATTAAATCACACAAAAACCCATCATTATTTAAAGGAATATCATACCATAAAGAACTGAAAATTATTTTAGCAATTTATAACTCTCACTAAAAAGATGACCTCTTGAAAGGCAGAACTTTACAATCAAGACATTGTTTTATGTTATACAACGTCATTTGACAATCTTTGAACTGTATCAGGAAAAGAAGACACTGTAAACATATAATTTACTAACTTTTCTCCGAAATGTTTTCCTTGAATTTTTAATATAATATTTAATATATAAACAGGCCATTTAATTAACTAAAATTACTTTGTGTAATTGGGAATTACAACTTACCGATGTATTAGATGTATTGTGAGTATAAATTTGTTAAAATTACATTTACCATCT